GGGGGGGTGGTGTTTGGTGTTTTGGGGTGTGTGGGGGGGGGGGGGGGGGGGGGGGGGGGGGGGTGAGACGGCCCGCGTTGAGGACGAGTAGTGCGGAGTGGTTTGCATCCCTTTTTTCTTCTTGCGCAGCGTTGGAAGGCAAACGTCTGTCGTCAGTTTTGGGTACAGCAGTCGAGGAGAACGACCATGAGGACGTCGAACGGTAACAGAACAACCCGCCGCCAAAAACAGCCAACAGCAAACACCACCTACCTCTCGCTGGGGAAGTCCTCTTCGTCCCTCATCCCCGCCCGCAGCACCGCCTGCGCCACCGCCGCCTCCCACGTGAAGGGGTCCATCTCCCCGAGCGGCCCGAACATCCTCGGCGGTCTTGCTCGAAGGGACAGAAGCCCGCCCGCCGCCCCAGGCCTGCCACCTCCGATAACGCCTCCACCTCCGCCGCCGCCTCCGCCGCCGCCGCCAGAGTCCCAAGGAGAACCTTCCGAAATTGCTCCAAGAGGCCTGGGGGATCCCTGCTGCTGCTGCTGCTGCTGCTGCTGCTGCTGCTGCTGCAGGTTCTGCTGTTTTCCGGCGGAAGGTTGGGGAGAAGAAGAAGAGGGCCGTCGCTGCAGCTCAGCGCTACGCCCGCCGACCTCCCCGCCTGGTCGGTGGGTGCTCGTGCCGTCGTCGTCCGAGTCCTCGTCCATCCTCGAGGCGTTTCGGATGCCCTCGAAGGCTCGCGTGCCCAGGTCGAACACTCCCACCACGGGCTGAAATAGTGGTCGAATCGGTGTTTCAGGGGGCAGGGTGCTCTCGGCAAAGTATGATGTTGCTTTGTGCGTCTTGATGTCTGCGGTTAAAAGTGTAAGCGTATTGAGTGCGCCTGAAGGCTTGACGCCAAAAAACAAATTGGGTCGCGATTTAATCCCCCTCCTCCCCCCCAAAGCCCAAAACAAAAGCCCGCATTTGTCACGCACGGGTCGAAACGAACCTGTAAAGTAACTCTCACCTTGATCGCGACTCCGACAACCCCCTTGACCATCCCCTTCCCGAAGCCGAGAACCCCTTCCTTCTCCGCACCGAGGTACGGCTAGAGAGCCACAGCCACCAAAAGATCCAGTGCGCATCCAAAAAAAAAAATGGCGTGGTCAGGGGGCGCACGCGGAAAAGCATGTGCCACAGGAGTCAAAATTTAACACCTCTGGTGACGTGAGGACGTTGGTAAGGAGTCAAATACTGCGTTCCGGCAAGCAGCGCGGACCAAGGTGCGCTCGACAAGAAGACGCGTCAACAGAACGAGCAACAAAACAGCACCAGTTGCGAACGACTACGGCAACAACAGTCCACCGAGCCTTTGAGGGCAACGAGGGCGAATAAATCGTGGTCGATCGACAAACACGAGGTAGCCGGCCAAAGTTGTGCCTGAACGGAAAGGAAAAGCCGCCACCTTCTATAGGCGAACCAAAGCCCGCCTGGGCTGGCGGCACGTTCGCCGAATCGAGGAGCCAACAAAATCCGTAAGTCGTGATGGTTGTGTAACAATAACAATGCTGTGGCTGCCAACCTTCACGACTTTGTGCACGCGGCAGGCGTAACCGTACCTCCATGACGACACCTGTGACGCCCTGGAAAATGCCTCTGCCGAACTCCTTCGCACCTTGCGCCATGCTGTCTGCCATCGTCTCGCCCTGTGTTGGGGGTTTTAAATTAGGCCGCGAGAGTTTGTCAAATTTTGTCTATTCGAAAATCGGTTTCGTCCGGGGCTATTAAAGGATACGACAATTGACGGCGACGGGGGCGCAACACAAGAAAATGGTCACGATCGCTATCCCAACCAAACCCGCATCACGGTAACAGGAAACGAGCACGACGCGAGATGGAGAGGCAGAGAGAGAGAGGACAGAGAAAGAGACAGAGACAGAGACAGAGGGAAAGAGAGAGAGATCGAAGTGACGCCATGAAAAAAGTAAAAGTGCGACACGAAGACACCAACAGAAAGAACGAACAACAAACGGAAAACATAACCACGAAATGAAAAAATAAGAGAGAGAAACAACCCGGGCCGAACGCGCGCGAGCACGTCCCACGCACAACACTGACAATTCAACATCTCCAACGAGGGTCTAGCTGTGAAGAAAAGCCACAACAGCAACAAAAACGAAAAAATGTGCCTACACCGCGGAGTGAAGCCCCAAGAGCATCGTGTGTTGCCCAACTCTTGGACGGGCATGTGGTTTGCCATGCTACTAAGTCCCATGTAAAGCGATTGGACTTGTGCCATCACAGAAGAGCGCAAAATCAACGCAAAATAAAAAACAACAAAACACCCGAAACAACACCGCAAACGGGCGAGAGACAGCGGGAGAAAACAACGCAGAGATTTCACACACGAAACTCTCGCACACACAAACCTCGACGAGCCTCTCGCGCACTCTCCTCTTCCGGTAGTCCGTGTCGAGCGAGAGCTGGGATATCGTGTCCCCGAGGGACCCCGTGACCTTGTTGAACGTGTTGAAGGTACCCTGGGACGGGGGGGGGGGGGGGGCCCAACCAAAAAAAAAAACCCCCAAAAAAAACAAAAAAAAAAATCCCAAAAAAAAGGGTTCCCAAAAGAAACAAAAGGGGAAGAAAAAACCAACTTGGCCACTTTGGACACCCCCTTTGCAAGTTCCCCTGGACCAGGTTGTAAAAGCCCCCCGGGAATGTGGTGTTGCCCCCCCAACAAAAGGGCTTGCCCGGGGAAAACATCCAAAAAAAAATCGAACACAAAAGAGGGGAAAACCCCACCCCCCCAATCCCATTCTAAAAAATGTGGAAATTTGGGCCCCGGGGGACCCCGGACCCCTCCCCCAAAAAAAAAAACATCCTTCTCCCAACCCCGGTCTCAAAAAAAGAAATTTCCCCCACCAAACCTTGGGAAAAAAAACCCCTTGAAAAATTTTTCCCCACAAAAAAACTTTTGGTTTTTCCCCCAAAACCACCCCCCCAATCCAATATCCCCCCCCCCAAAAGCCCTTCCCACACTTAAAGCCCCAACTTGCTTGCCCCTGAAAAAGAACAATTTTACCCCCCCCCAA